ACATGTCCTGACATAGTTTGCTTCACTGTCGCGGTGACACAGGCCTGCACATCATCCCTTCCTTCCCATTCATCCATCCATTCCTAGCCACCTTCGTATCTCATGTCGTGCTTTCATTTACGCACTGTCCAACATATGCCTAATCGTACCCTCCACTGGTGTGGCCTGCATCCTCCTCACCAAACCACTCCACTTTGGTGGTAATGAGAAAGTCATTTCATAGTGTCCATCGTCCGAGTCGCAAGTTGTATGTATGGCTGGGATGTTGTTTTCATTCACTGGTCGGTTAGTACACGCACGGATTGATTTGGGCTGGACATCCTATTCTCGCCTTCACCTCACTCACCACCACACGGACATTTGCTGTAGCATACTCGGCAGTGATTGTCGATGAAATCCCCACCGTCATGGAAATCGCATAAGGGGGAAAGTACACTCAAACACTCACTGTGTTGACTCTGCTGAAAGGAGTGAATGGCCTTGCCAATGGTGTTATTGGATTCTATTTAGTAGCCGCTTTTGCAAGCATTATAGCTATGTATATCCAGAGCTCCACTACTTTATGTATTCTTAATTTTTTTATAAAACAAAGTTCTTTGCGCCATTCCAAAGTGATTGTAAGCACATGCATTCACAGGATCCACTGCGGCACGTGTGCTTGGTGATCTAACCTGAGTATCTCATAAGTTACTAAAGTCTTTTTTGTATTTGATATTATTGTTTTAAAGAAGCCATCTATGCGACAGCCAAATATTGATAAAGATTGCACGTCGCAGTGCTGGTTTGTAGTTTGGTTAATTCGTCAAACTTTATGAAATCTCGACGAAAGATCCTACCTTCTTACCTGCATCATTGGTCTGTTGGCCTACTCACATCTCACTGACTCGTGTTTCTAAACTTTGCTAAATTCATTAACCTTACTTCTGACTGTGGCGCCTCTCTAACATGTGCTGTGCATTTCTAAACATAAATTGAATGGCCCTCTTCCATTTGGAGATCAAAGTTGATAGATTTCGCCATACCTTTGCATGCAGACCCTTTGTACCACCAACGAACTTGCTAGACCTCTTTTATTAAGTGAATGCTTCGAATGACTATGTTGTATGTCGTCCATCCGAATTGATCGCCGTTATAAATTATTTTTACTAGAGACATTATAGTCACTGCTAAAATTAAACAGGATTTATTTGGTTTTTCCATTTTACTGTGCTGTTCTTTCGCGGTGATTATCTTTACAGCAAAGAAATTGAGGAAATTGTATACTTATAGGGTTTCCACATCTTGTAGTCACAAAAGTTTATTAATTTGTGATGTTGATTTCGGCCAAAATAGAACTTAAAATGGGAAAAAATGTGTGAAATCTTGTGCCTTCAAAATGACGATGCTGTATCTTCAAATCTTTTAGTTTCTTAAGCATGCAAAACATTCCCGTGATGCCTCAAGTCGACTGGAATTGAGGTGCACAAAGTATGACTGACGAAGCAGTAGCACATGGAGTGGCTACACGCTAACCAGTGTGAAATTAATAAACAGCGCAAGTGTTGGTAGACAGCACAACCTGTGTCCATTTCCACCTCATCATCACCTCCACCATCACCACTGCACTGCAACACAGCCTTCAGTTGCCGCACTCCTTCTTCAACCCTCCTCTGACTCGACGAGGGGGAAATCGTACTCCAGCAACAATTGCTGACGTTTGTCCAAGGAAGGTCGTTATGCTAATGTGGTGAACTGTGTAAGGCGGCAGCAGGCTCGGTTAGCGAGACTTCGCCACACGCCACCAACTATATTGTGCACACAACAGTTACCGACGCCACTAGATGTTTGTTATACGAACCTCGCACTAACCATAGGTGTGTGTGTGTTTGTAATGGCGGCCATTGTGTTTGGCTGACCCAGACGATGAGTCACGCAGAGTAACAATAGCATCATCAGAGAAGACGGTAGGGGGGAAGGGGGAGATTGTTCGCATGGGGGAACAACGCATCCACCAAACGACCAGCTGTGAAATTGCTTGCGTGACGAAACACGATGAGGGTGTTGCATTGCCATGGCGACTCCCGACGGTCATAAATCAAGAGGTGATAGATTTCAACAATAATATTACTTCCATTGATTGCGCCATATAACACGTAAAATTCTAGTCATTTGGAGAACTAGTAAATCCATCAAATAGGCTATTGTATAAACGACTTGCTAACACTGCTTCCTATACCATGCCAGGTATTCACACCTCGTCAATAAATATGCAGTCAAGTAACATACCTCCTTAGAAGTTCAGTAATGCGCAATGAAACCATGCAGACCTTCAATTATGTAACTGAATTTAGCATTTTCGATCTAATTTAATGCGTTTCTGACCTGCAAACAATCCATGAGGTTCGAGCCAGAAATCGTTAAGCGGTTCACACCACGGAACTTTAGACTTTGCATTTACATGTTCGTCAACTTATGCGTCGGCAACGCTCGCTGTATCACCGTTGTTACGCAGGCTTATTGCAATTGCTTCTTGCAAGTCCAGTCTGCAGCCCATTGCTCAGCACCCCTAATTTGAGCACTCCGAAGCGCTCTCCTTGAAATCGTATGTTCTAAAAATTTTTGAACGTTTTTCTTAGGCTCTCGAGCATTTTCTATCTTTGTGGGGTGTTAAATTAGAGTTTTTTTTAAAAGCAGTTATGCAAAACGTAAGATGTAACAGTGAATATTAGGTCTGACTTCAAAAAATTTGACTACATAATCCTAGAACAAGTTTGCAATGCATTTTTTATGCTACTACCTGCATGAGTAGACTCCTCTTTGGCATTTATCGTAATCCAGACTGTGTGACTTGACCTTTGGGTCAAGCCAAAGCCCGAGTTATTCCCCTTCTTCCCAAAAATTAGGCGTTAAAGCCCACCATGAGCTTAATGAAATTAACGCGAAACTTCATTCAGCTAACAGTGGGTTGGGTCGTTTGATTCTACATTCTATTTCTCAGAACACTTAGGGCTGAATACCTGCATTTCCTCTCTGCGCGATAACCACGAGGGCATCACCGTGATCTTTAAACTCTTCTGCATATGCCAGCGAAACCCAGTCAGCCTTGCTTCTGTACATTTATTCATTTACGACAAATAACTCTCAAAACGTCGACTATTTTGATGGCGTACATAAGCTAAAACGGTGTTTGTACCGTACATGCTGAGAGTATGGGAGGAAAACATCAGTATCGGGCGAACAGATAATGGATCCACAATTTGTAAAATTAAACAGTAATAGCTCAATTCACTTAATACGAATGGCACATATAATGCATGCATTAATTTTCGTAACTTTTGTACCCTATGAGTGTATTCCGAAGCCAGCTAACGTAGTCTGGAACTAAAGCTAGGTAACTACTCTGTCAAAGAAGAGAGCGTCTAGACTTCGGTTGTGAAAGGAAAAAATTCTTTATCTATTAACTCCTTGCGTCCTAATGGTGTCAAACCATGCGTGATGAGAGGAGTGTCAAAAGATGTCCGAATTGGAAGCAAATCACTCCCACGTCAGCGAATGGGATAGAAGCATCATAAGGTTAATGGAATACTTTAGCAATTCATAGCATTCACAAAACAGGCAGACAGGTAAATGTGAGCCGTTTTTAAGGTGTTCCCTTCATTGACGGATCCTCGGTACACAATGCATTTATCTGTTATTTTAGGCGATAAAAATTATGCTTATTTCTGCTTGTCTCAATTCCATTACAACGAAGTCATCTTAACATAGTTAATTACTGCAGCAGAGGCATTATGGAACGCACCTCCATGTGCTAAGTATGCTTAATCCAAGAAGCATTCAAAAACGATGGTGTAACCATATCCTTTGATTCGCATGACCATTGGAGTGGTTGATATTATTAGGGCTTGAAGAAGATGACAAACACCCTTTAATGCGAACATATGGGCAGACTTTTATTGCCACCTCCAGTTTTCCAAACAAGAGCTTCATATAGAGGCTTCGGTATGGTGCTATAAGATGACTATCATTTATGACTGTGCGTAATTTTTTATTATAAAATGAAAATAGGCATTCCTTGTAAAGGCTTTGCTTAACTCTTATCCGCAGAAAAGGATTAGAGTAACTCATGAGATTGTAAAGTTAAGGTGGTTTACATTTTGCAAAGTTAGCATAATCGTCGTCTGGATTTTGAGCTGTAAAGTCGCGAAGTGGTTGATATAGGCAACCCAAATAGTTCGTAAAACTAATTTCGAATATGGCGGCGCATAGAAACAGTCATCAAGCCAACAGTGTGACCGGCACATGGTTGAACCCGGGGTCAGTGGGGGTAACAAGGCAAAGGAACCAATGGCCCGCATGAAATGTTGGACCATCTTCCACAAAGGTCTATAAAAAGAGCAGACTACAAAGGAAAACATCGTATTATTGCTATGCGTTCAATGGGTGCACTTGCCATTGTGATTGCTTGTCTCATAGTTAGTGGATTTGGATATCCAAAGCAGCCTACGTTTCCATTTTGTCAGTCACCTGTGTGCAATTCTGGTGCAACCACTGGTTACCAATGTCACAATGGTGTCTGCGATTACGTCTGCTCCAATTCTCTGTGCCACGGCACCGGAAACACCGTATTTTCCCAAAAAGGAATGAATGAGACGTGGGGTATTGGAGCTCTTGGTGCGAAAGGATGCAACGGCAGTGACTGCGGCTTCTGGAGTGGATGCATTAATGGTAAATGCAAAGACTTCTACGACTTCAAGCAGTGCCATGCTAGTAAATGCCTCAGTGGACCGTTCGAGGGCTATGAATGCACTGCTAATGGTCAGTGCCGAATTGTGTGCCGTGATGATGTTTGCCACTTGGTTGAAAATTATGGCAAAAGCTATCACTCCTCATCAGCCGATCAAGGGAAACCAGAGTTTGAAACCGAGATAAGTGTGAAAAAGGCAAATAGTTTAGATGATCCGGTCAAAACAATGACGGAATTTGTGGAAAATATGGATCCCAATGATTTGGAAATGCTAATGGAGTCTACACCGAACGTTGATGAAATGATTATGGGCCTTGATAGCGAAGTTATCAAAACCATTGTCCCAAAGCTACCAAACGCAAGTAAATTGATGAAGAAGTTAAAACCTGAAACAATTCAGCATATTAATTCACTATTAGCTTCCAAAGATCAAAAAGCAGAAGAGGAAATGCCCGAAGAAGAAAAAGCTGAGGTGGAAGAACCCAAAATAGAAAGATCAGAGGCGCAAAATTTCAAGGAGACAAAACCTGAAGAAGTAAAATCAGTGGAAGAAAAGCTTAAGGAAGAAAAGCCTATAGAAGAGAAACTAAAAGAGGAAAAACCCAAAGAAGAGGTACAAGTGAAGGAAGAAAAGCTTGAAGAGCCCAAAGAAGAAGTGCCTTATTTACCATATGAAACGTGCAAAGAGTTGGGCGATGACTGGGTATTGGTTGACGAAGTAGTGGATCAAGATGCTCAGACGCTCATGAATGTTCTTCAAAGTCTCAACGTTCCTATGTTCACGCTGCCAAGTGGCTCACAAATTTACGCTTTTAATCCCATGAAGCCTCCGCAATCCCAAATCCTTACTCCTTCCACTCTCGTTTCCATTCTAAGTCCAACTGTACTCCAATCAATGCTTTTGAATATTCCAAACCTCAAACAACTTATGCTGTCAATGGATCCAATTCTACTTCACTCTGCTTTGAAGAATACGCCGGGCATCAGTGGTTTCGCTTCCAGCACGGACCCGCAAGCACTACAGTCACTGATTAAAGGTCTGCCAACCGTCAAAAGTGTTGTGGCGAGTATGGATCCAAACATTCTTAAGTCTCTTGTAATGAATATATCCAACCTTGATAATATTTTATATGGCAGCAATCCAGCTATTCCACCAACAAAGGATTCAAATGTGAAGATCGAGGAAATAAGCGCTGTTAAACCTCTTTCTTTGATGGCGAAATCCTCCATTGAAATGCCAGGTGTAATGGATTTTGTTAACTTCAACGATACAAAAGCAATTTTGTCAACTGTACCAAGTATTCCGCTCCACTACGCCAATGCCCTGTTTAATGCGGACCCCGCTTTTGTTCGATACGTGGTAGAAAAGCACCAAAACCTCAATGGCCTTTTAACGAATATGAATGGCCAGACACTGCAATACATCGCTTCGCACGTCCCTGCATTTGGCAAAATTTTGTCGAAAATGAATTCTTATACTTTGGAAATGGTTTTTGACAAAATGCCAAAGATTGCTGAGTACTTGGAATCTCTTAGTCCCGAGGTAGTTCAAGCTCTTGTGGCCAAATTACCCTCTCTTGCAAAGTATACGCCTATAGTACCGATTGCACCTTCCTTGCTGAAGCAGCCCAAACTCCAGCCTCGGATTTCCGAAGAAGTATCGACGACAGTTGCAACAGAAGCACCAGCAATCACAGAAGAAGAGGTAAAAACAATGAAGTCAAAAATACCCCTCATCGATTTGTGGTTGAAGTTTACAGATTCAAATAAGATGGCGGCTCTACGTGAATTGGTTCCTGATTACCCAAAAATATTCGCCAATTTGGAGCCATCAAAGCTGGAGGCGATCAATTCACATCTATCAAACATTAGCAACATTATCAATGCTGTTGATAATGAACTTTATAAAAGTTCTCTTTTAAAGTTGAAAGAATCCGGCAGTGTTCTCGGTGCTTTGGTTTCAATGCTTTTATAAATCATAAATGTTCGAAAGTAATGTAGCTTCTCAAATGTTTATAATAAATGTTTTGTGTGTAAATTGTGATTTTTACTTTGAATTCGATGGAACACTAAAGTTGTCGTGTAGAGATGTGACAGGTGGGATGGGCGGCTTGTGTAATTTGCTAGAGGCTACACTAGTTGAAATGTCTAGTGTCAAGCTACTTGATTTGAGTCTTTTTAATTAATATTAGTCTGTGACCGATGGGCTTTGATTGCAACCTTTACACCATCTTTACTGAGGCGCTTTTCTACGTTCCTGTCGTGTTGACTAACCAACTCCGTGTGGACTTGAAGATTTGGTGCATTTAGACCAAAATGATGACCTAAAGTCGCGTTTTTTTTAAAGCGAATGCTTTGATTCGGAAGGAGGTAAGAAAATTGTTTTGTTTGGTGCATCGTATCAGTACTGAGTGGCTAACTACATGCCTTAAGCTTTAGGCTTATTTTACAACTTCGTAAAGAGTATGCAGGCATATTTCAATTATTCTGTTTCGTTAAAACTCTAGGCTGTATTGGCTGTCCGAATGTGCATTGATTGTAACATTCTAACGGTTCTAGTAAACTCTCTCTGTCCTTTTCTCTTGCTCACTCAGCACTTAGAAACTTGAGTGTGAATTTTGCTGTACACATGACTCTAAAGCCGCGCTGGTAATTGTTGACCTCGTCTGCACCCTGATAGCCAACACTATGCTCTAGCATGACATTCTCATTCGAAGAATCACGTAGGCGACAACAAATCTTAAACCAGACTAAAAAACAAATGATATAATTGTCTAAATAAATTGAAATTCCATTGTGAAGAAAGCATATCCGCTCATGGGAGAATGTGCTAACGATGCTCCATGGCATCCGATAACAAATTAAGCGACTGGACGCATGGACCGAAAAGGAGGTCCGTTATGGCCCAAAACACTTCCACCTTTTTACTGGCAGCGTTAAATGAGAATGGGTGGTAAGGTAGTATATGCATACCACTTCATATCATTAAAGAATCTAAACTCGTCCTTAATAAAAAGGACTGTTTTCGATCAGTATTCGTAACTTCACCAACAAACCACGCTTGTTATTCTCCAGTATTAAGTCTTCTTCGGTCGCTGACAGAGCGTGTTGGTACCGTGCTTCCCTTTTAAATGCCAATTTTTGCTTTCTAGGGATGATGGAATGGATCGAACAGAAATAAATTTTTTGCATCTCCACCGCCTAAAGGGAAAAGAAACCAGTCTAGCAAGGGGATTTAAAGCAGGATTAAGACGCCAAGCCTCAAACGCCCCTTCAAACTACTGCTTTGCATAACTTAAGGCCAATGTAAGCAGTATTGTTAAAATAAGCTTGGTTTACTAAACGAAATCAAAGTCAGGAATAAGTCGCAAGGTTGACAGTGTTAGCTCAGAGTAATCTCGCCAAACATACGGTAAAACCGTTAGATTGTGCACTCACACATGCAAAAGTAGAGTTCCTTCCAAATGGAATAAAAGTTACAGTCACCTGCAACAAAATCAGGTTTCGCGCCTTCAGATGGAAGGAATTTGTTTACGTGGACTACCAGTTGATTTAAACGATAAGAAGTTCGGGCTGTTTTATATCACTGCATGCAAATAAAAGGAAAAACATGCTATCAATGGAACTTTTAAGCCAAACCATCTGTCATTTCAGTAATGGCAAATGCTATCTAAATTTCCAGTGTATCTCGATTCGCTTTACCCTTCTGGGGCTGAGAAATTTAATGATTTAGTCACCCTTTTCCATTCCATCCCTGACTTTGTGTAGCACAGTAGCCTCCAGCTTCATGTTGCAAAGAACAAATCCCTTTCCAACTGTGGACTTTGATGATCTGAACATCAAAAAAGGACACTAACTATTCGCCGTATGTACGACTAGTTTAATTCCTAAACTATGCAACTCGTAGTAATGTCGTAAGACACCGTGGACATTTTACGCTAAAAATCAGGCATCCCACCAATTATCGGTGACACGATTAAAAAAGAAATGACGATGCTACTATAAAGGGATAATTCAAGTATTATGACCAAAAGCTCGTTCCAAGTATTGTGGCTGCTCTAAAGTTTAAACCGCGATTTCCAGGGGAACGCCTTAACTCAGAGACTTGGTGGAAGCAGGAGAGAAGAATTATGAGTAAGAGAGCAGCCGGAATATTCCTCAAAGTCTAATGGAGCAAATTAACTCATTGTAAAGAGACCAAGCAACTTGGACCAACCTTTAAGTTATTCGTTTTAAAATTAGGTTTTTTTAGAGTGTACTTCCTCATGAGGTGTCATTACCATTTCAGACAATCCAGGCCCGTAGCAAAGACAAAGCTGCCAATAAAATGGGTAATAGTGGCAATTAGGTAAAAGAGATAAGGTCTCAACAGTATTAAAGGCATGGCAAACATGATCTATGAAAAATTCTCAAAGCAACCCCTAAAAAATGCTTTACAACATCTTTGACAGCTGTTGCGCTATATAATAAAACGCACTTTCAAATTAGTCACAGACGTTATTTTGACAGCGATCTTGACCCTCAGCCCAGTCACCACAGCAAGCCACAGTGGCCCATACTTATTCCTTCAAGTGATTACAGCGTCTTCGCAATAAGTATGCTATTATTTATAGCATGTAAGTAGAACCAATATAAACAGTAAAGGCGGTCTCATTGCACTGAAAATAGAAAACTGCTAAAAGAAAGCATGAATCGTATAAAAAAGAATTATGACAATAGTGCTCTGTAATAATCAGCCTGCAAAGACGTGCTTTGTAGAACAGTAAAGAATACCGAAGCCAAAGCACCACAGAGATAATCGCTAGCTACTTGAATGAATGAATTGATAAAATGAGCCTTAACATCCACTCCTTCTAGCAGAATCAACACAGTGAGTGTTTGAGTGTACTTTCCCCCTTATGCGATTGCCTTGACGGTGGGGATTTCATCGACAATCACTGCCGAGTATGCTACAGCAAATGTCAGTGTGGTGATGAGTGAGGTGAAGGCGAGAATAGGATGTCCAGCCCAAATCAATCCGTGCGTGTACTAACCGACCAGTGAGTGAAAACAACATCCCAGCCATACATACAACTTGCGACTCGGACGATGGACACCATGAAATGACTTTCTCATTACCACCAAAGTGGAGTGGTTTGGTGAGGAGGATGCAGGCCACACCAGTGGAGGGTACGATTAGGCATATGTTGGACAGTGCGTAAATGGAAGCACGACATGAGATACGAAGGTGGCTAGGAATGGATGGATGAATGGAAGGGAAGGGATGATGTGCAGGCCTGTGTCACCGCGACAGTGAAGCAAACTATGTCAGGACATGTGATGGTGAGGCATGATCAGAAGCATATAAATGGTCGTTACTCGATGGCTGTCGAAGCGATGAGAGGCAGTTATGGTGAACTGGCGTTACAGCTCCAAATGCCATGGTGTGCCAAGTGGGTGACCAGTTTGGATGCGCGTAGTGTCCGATTCGTGCTTGTGAGCACCTTAATTGTGCGCCGAAATGGGATGTCAGTGCATGCACTGCCACCTTGCTCTGCTTTGATAGAAGTGCTGAAACTGTGTAGGTTGGCAGCCGGCACGCATCACATACCTGCTTTCGCGTGGAGATCACCAACTCTCCACCACAACATCGTCGCCTCCCTACCCAAGATCGAGAGCACATTGTTTAGTGTCAATCCGTCCGTCAATCGGTGCACCACACCTCATGGTGCATCGGCAGAGGAGTAGGATGCGGTGAAGCCTGCTGTCATGAGGAGGGATGCGTACATTCACCAACACACCTGACGTACCGGATGGCATGGATGCCAACGTCACGAGGTTGGGCATTGCAGTACGCCAACGTCTCGCCAAGCATGCATCCATGTGTCGTTCAGTCCATGTGGGAGAATGGTGCAAAGGCATATGGTTATCAGGTCGAGACGCATGCGCACCCACTGCAATGTGACGTCGTGCACGTTTCGGGGTATGGTGGAATTGTGGCCAAGCTAAATTAAAGCACATTGCTGGTGGTGGTGGAGGCACGCTCTACGATGGTGAATGAAGTCGGAGGTGGAAGTATGTTCACGACTGAGTTGTCGTTGTATGGGACGTGCATGCACGTCGTGGTAGTTGTGTGATGAGGAGCTGTGAGGGAGGACTGCATTGTGCTGACACAAATGTGTTGATCGGTGCTGACAGAGGACAAGGTGCAAATGCTAGCAGTTGTTGTTGACGAGGTAGCTACTCGCGTAGCGTCTCAGTCTACTCCCTGCCTTCAACGAACTGGCAGTTGGGCAGGTCCGAACAGACGTACATCATGCTATTCCTCCATGGTTGCATTCGTATTGGTCAAAGGTAAGTAGCTCAGCCTCCTGCTCTTCCACCGCGTGATGATATGTCGGTGTCAGTTTGTGTGGTGCTACGCCAACCCGCATGCGGATAGGGGCAGTGAGGAGTGCTGCAGCATTCGGAAGATGGTGCGCCACTCGGAGCGGAGTCCAGCCTGCAATATCGCATGCATTGAGCGTAAGGTTGTGAAGGACGATAGTTGAAGTGTGGAGAGAGGAGAGGAGAGGAGAGGAGGGAAGGAGGGAAGAATGTGGGTGAGTGAGTGAGTAAGTGGGTGAGTGGGTAGG